TCCAATCAGAATCATAACTATGAAGTTATTACCAACTACAATTGAAAGAAATAAGGAGGAATGAGAATCCAAACAAATCAACTTCATCCCACCATAACTAATGTAAACAAGCGACGTTTGCTCAAGACTACAACCAGAGTCGCCGCTCTTTGATGATTCCTACATGCCAGGTGGATCTGATGAAAAACACCTAAAATCCATTGCATATAGGGGAGGATTTTTTAAACTGGGAGCAATTTCTTTTCCAAAAGCTCAGGGAGAATCATTAAATTCCAGGACACTTTGAACTCTTAATTACCAGGACATTTTTAAGTAGAGATCTGGGTGCAAGGTTCTAACAGCATTAATAACTAATCAATGGATTTTTCTATGCATTTCAGTGCAAGACTATGGCACTGGAGAAAAAGCTTCATCTTAACCAGTGGTGCCAAAAATTTCCAAAAATTCACCAAAAATCTTTGGAAATTGACTAAAGGTTTTTTTTTTTTTCCCCTGAGGCATCATCTTTATTATCTTAATCCATTTCATATGGGAGTCCTTAAAAACAACCAGTACATAATGCAGAGTCACCACATTCAAGCTCAACATGATTCTCTTCAACACTCCGAGGCAAATTTTCATATTTCTTTTTTCCATTCATCGTCTCCTCAGCTGTGCATTAACACATTAACCTGCCAAACATAGTGTGTGAGTAGTGTGTCTAATATATTTGTTCACACACACACATACCTGTTGCAGCTGTTAAATATCCCAGTTTACAGGATCCACAGGATGGTTATCTGAGCTCAGGCTTTTGTGTCCGTTTCTTTCAGACCATCACATTCATTACGTCAAAGCAGGCAGCTGCTGCTGTTGCCGTGGCAATGCCACAAGATAATGAAAGGCCGCACATTGCTTCTCCTGCTGCTGGCCGTCACTTCGGGGCTCTACTCGCATTAAACGCCACAAGACAAGGACCACCTGAGAGGGCCTGCTTTCCAACTACGTCCAACATGATTTAACAAATATTTATCTGGGGTGTCTAAAGATTCGTTATTTTGCATCAAGGTTTCTTAGGGGAAACAAACAGGAGCAAAGAGAATCATGTTAAATCTACACAACTCATTCATAGAAAGGCAAAAATGAAAGTACATAAAAAATGAAACAAATCTAATCTTTAAAGATGAGTTTGAGAAGTAATCTTTGATTTACATCCAGCATAAAGTATGGCTTCTAGTCTCAATTAAAAGGAGCGAGCAGATTATGCACTACCAGCGGATTTATTCTCATCACTGACCATAGTTTACCCAAATACATTACTTTTGTAAATCAAACTTCCTTTTTTTATATAATGTTTGGTTATAGCCTTACCACAAAGTTACAGCAACATAAACAAGAAAGACGAAGGAAAATTCTAACTGGCTTGGGGAATGGGGATTTCATCCACACCAGCTGTAAAGTGAGGACAATTTAGATCAAAATTACAACTAAAAACTTAATGTAAAACCAGGTTTTGTATATTTTAAAAAAACACTCTTTCAAAGTTAACTTTACCTACATGACCCTGTATCATTGCATTCATCTCCCTGTGTCATTATATTTCCTTCAACGCTTCTGAAAAGAAAGGGTTATTAAATACAGATCTGACAAGTTCGAACATTTAAAAGTGGCCTTTCTCATTTAATAACTCCCCCATCTGCAGGCAGTCATGTAACAACAGTGTCATACAAAATGAGTCATTAGTATTATAAGCAGCAGCGTGTCAGGGCCCATATTTCTGAACATTTGACCTCAGCAGTGCAGAACTCTCACAGCAGAGGATATACGAGATGGTTGTAACTTGGCTGACAGGATGAGGAATTTGGATTTGGAACAGAGGAACAGTCAGTTTGGTTTGACATAAACGCCAGCCTCCTGACTCCAGCTCAGTTCAAGCCTCTGACATCATTCATCCTTGTAATCTAATATTTCTTCTGAGGTCTGGTTATTTAACAGTGACACTCTGCAACTTTTAGTTTTTCCCCTGCATCTTTTGAAGTCTGCCCTTAGACGCTGCTGCCTGATAAAAGCAAAATTTTTTTGCATGTTTTCAAATAATTGGCTATTTTATTGTGATTGAGATTTAGCTCTGCACTCCTTAAAAATTGTGTTTGTTTCCCTCTAATATTATCTTTTGTACATTTCATCAAGTTTGCCATCAACATTAACTCTGACCATTAAACTCTGACGATTACTTAAGTTAGTCACAATTTTCATGCAATGCAAAAATTAGACACTTACCATTCATCTTATAAAAAATGTATTTAAATCATGTTAATGCACTTCCCCACTTGTTGCATTTGTTAAAAATAAAACAATCATCCACATTTTTTAGATTATTTTAGTTTTCTGTGCAAAAGCAACACATTTTTATACATTTAAAAAATAATAATAATTCCACACTTATCATTCCAGAGAGGACATGATCACAGCAAAACCCAACTTTATTACCAGATCTACGAATAAAATGAGTTGGGTGTTAATCAGTTATCAGTTTAATCAGTTAATCATTCATTCTAAGTTGTTCCATTTGATCAATGACTGGTTCTGGGATTTTCTAAAAATAACAGTGAAGCTACACACACATTAGATTTCTTACATTCTTTAATAAGAAGCGCAAAATCTTTAAAATATACATTAAGCAGAATAATCAAGTACATAATTTTGTTTTAATTAAAAGCAATCTATGTCCTTCCTAAATTAGGCAAAACAAGAGAATTGTAAATATTTACAACACATGAAAGGCATCACAAATATTCACTTTTTATTCCAAGTCATCAGATTTTCACACCTCAGATGTTTGTTGCTCTGACTTTGCACATCTACCCATCGCTGCAGAGTAACTTTCACAAAGACATGCAACACCACTCCTCACCCAACCTGGCAACATCTCAGATGCATTAAATTTGTTCCATCTTCCTCTGAATGTGGAATCTGCTAAGCAAATATTTTTCCTCAGCAAAGTTTAAGCACTGAAGCACCATCTGTCCTGGAGGAAAAGCTCAAACTGTGACTGTGGACACTGCAGATATGACATCACTCACCTGAAACTGAGATATTGGTAAATAAGATGCCAAAGGAGGCCATCTGTGAGCTGCTGGGGACTCCACCACACACACGCGATAGAGATAGTGACTGCAGCCACATCCACAGGTATTCATTTCACAGGGCTAAGAAACACAACGCATCAGCTCAAACCAGATTAACACAGCAGCTACACAACAATCTGCATTTCCACACAACTTTGTAAGTTTGGTCCAAAACGTCTCATCACTGACAGGATTAATGACTGTTCAGTAAACAATTTGAGCAGTTTTTGTCAGTTAAGTCCTAAGATTCAGGCCAGGGTCTTTCTGTCTGGAGTTCACATGTTCCTCTTCTTTCTACACTGAAATCATGCATTTTAGATAATTTATGATTCTAAGTTGTCCTTATAATCATGTGCGAATGATTGTCTGTCAGATCCCAACTGTTTTAAAACTACAGTTGCCACGAAATATATTAGAAAATGTCAGGCGATATATTGCACGTTAGAAGTTGTTGTAAGGTCGATTTTTACACATGAATATAAATCTGGTAAATTACTGACACTCTGCAGTGGGAAAATCAAATATAAAAGAAGTAATAACACCATTTACTGACAAGTGTGTTAAGACTCTGTGGGAAGTGATTCTTAATGTTTTCAAAGAGGCAAGCAGGTCCAAGCCAGACTGCTGACCAAAAGTCAGGATCATCAGTGAGGTCCCGTGTTGCTGAGCCTCACTGATGATCCTGCAGCTGACAGAGGAAATCCCTGCAGCTCGTCTCAACATCTGGTGCAAAGAGTGAAGCCAGAAGAGGGCAGGCTGGAACAGCAGCTGATTTGAAATGAGATCAGAGAAGCCAGCAGATGGCTGAGTAACTCTTATGATGCTTTGGTTGGAAATGAAATAACTCAGTTATTTTCCTTCAGTAGGAGCCAAAAGTGAAACCTACAGCAGCTTTCTGTTAGTGTTACATGTGGCAGCTTCAGTGAAATGTTTAACCAAAAACAACTAATGTTGTCAAGGGAGACAAAACGAAGATGAGCTATTAAACTTTATCATTTGCTTTCTAAGGAAACAAAATGTGTTACCCTGCAGAGCCCAAAGCCAGTGTACCAGAAAACCCTGTTTGTGTTGGACAAGTGGTCTTTAAATCTGGAAGCACTAGAAATGTAGAGACTTCTGCAAGAACAAAATATACTTCTCCATCAGTCAAAAATCATCAATAGAAACCAATGTCTAAACTTTTTAGTCCATACTGTCGCCCTGTGATGGACTGCCAACCCGTCCATGGTGTACTCTGCCTCTTGTCCAATTACCCTGCAAGAACAAGTAGGTGTGAATTTATGGCATATTATTCCCTAAAATAGAAAATATGCATATGATCTGACTAGATATGAACCACCAATCAGTCAGAGACTTTTTTTCAATCTTCCATTGAAAAAGAAAATATATTTTTTGCCACTCAAAAACTTCACATTAGGAACTCCCACCCTTTTCTGTGTAGAAATGCATTTGCAAACACCATGAACTGATGAACCTTTGTGGAGTATGAAAATATTGATTAAAAGGTTAGGGACATCTGATTTGATACTTAAATTGAGATGATTTTGTAGTTCCCTCATCATCTGTTGGCTTCAAAACCACAACCTCTATAGTTTTGAAACCATTTATTCCCCTGTTCTGCTAATTAGTTAAACATAATTAATTTGGCTGAAGGATGGCATCAGCAAAGGTAGAATAAGAAACAAGCTTAACATAATACAATCACAATATATTAATTGCATTATAGCTCAAGATATCTTCCAAAAAGATTAAAAACAGAGAACAAGTTGGTTGCTGACTATTTGTTTCCTCAAAAATTAGGTTGGATTGATCAAATATGTTCTTACTATTTACAGTATTCAAATGCTTTAGTTCCAAGCAAGCACCCAGTAAAATATAAAATATACTGATCAATGTAGTTGCTCTTGTTCTTAAGACTTGCAGAAGAACAGAAATGCTAACATTCCTGCAGCAACCACTCAAAACAGGGTCCATTAATCCAATCCAATGAATGGTAATGATGCAAGTCTACAGTTTTTACAATGCGGAGCTGCTGCATAAACAAAAGAACAAAGGACATTTCCTCTGAGATGGAAATTTGGTAGCAAAAGATCAAACACAACATGAAAGATTCAAACTGCTTTCATTGTGGTTAGCAAAAGGGCATTTAGGAGGGAACCTGACACAGCCCACACCTTAGCCCCTAAAAAAAAAAAGAAAAAAAAGAAAAAGATATTCATGAATTTTTAATTTGAACAAAAGTGTAGGATCTTTCAGCAGCTTTAACACATTGGAGAAACACTATAACCTCATCTATTTCTTGGTGAAAAGGCTGTCCATCTACAGAAATGTCTAAAATAATGACACCATCAATGAAAGAAATACATCTGTTAGCAGAACCAGCTCTGCTGGCAGATAGATGCGAACAGATTCTGTTTCTGTTGCTCAGATTCAATTCTGCAGTGATTTCCATGTTGTTGCCATGAGCACCAGCAGCAGGACGGACATGACAGCCAACAGCCTCTCACCCCTCCTCCTGCATCCACCTCCCATCCCCATCAGCATACCTCTATCTTCCTTTTCTCTTTTCTCTCTTTCCTACAACCACCCATTCATTCTTCTGTTTAAGTGCATTTCATTATCACCAATTCCATTTCTAAGCATTTTTCCAACATCTTTGCTTTTTGGAACAACTACTTTGTCTGATCTCACCTTTTACTCCTCCTCCACCATCTGACAGTGAATCCCTCCATACAAGGGTGACATTGAACGGATGAGGTACAACCTCTTCAATTCAATAATTCAACACCTCTGTCAGAGCTGGATAACTGTAAACGAGTGAACAAGATAAAAGCTTATCAGAGATCTGTTCTGTCAATTTTACGGTTTATTAGACCTATGTGTTTCTTTTGCATGCTACAAATGTTTGTTTAAAGATTTTATGCCATTCCTGTAAAGCCATCTCTAAATGAAACAGATTATCTCTGACTATGAAGAAGTGAAAAAATGGTGAGACTGATTTCAAAGAAAAAAAAACATCATTTTGTGCCGTCTCACCTCATTGTTGGCCAGAGCCAAGATGGAAAGAGTGAAGGAAGAGAAAAGACACATTAGCATTTTGAAGAGCAACCACAGGCAAATTTAGCTCTCCCTCTCAGTGGGGATTTGCATTAGCAGTCGAGCTGATCTTCTCCATGACGAGAAACAGACAGAAACATTTTACCTTCTGTAAAGGTAAATAAATTCTCAAGAAAATGGTTAGGAATCCTAACTGTGCTTCCATCCACCATTGCTTTCAGCTGCATTTCGATATAAATGTTGACATCCTCGGTTTAGCAAGATTTTAAAAAGTTCAATAACTACTTAAAAGTTTCGTCAAACCATTTCTAAATTTTCAAAATAAAATGCAACATTGCAGTTTACTGGATTTTAGTTTAGTTGCATGGAGTCAGTTGACTGAATGAAAACTCCCAGACTTTTCCCTTGCTGACAAAAAAGGAAAATCTGATGATTTGGGTTAAATAATAAAGTACAGAGAATCACAGCAGGGAGAGGAAGAGGAGCATTATGCTTCACTCTTAAGGTAACAGTTTTAAGCTACAGCTGATAAACCAGGAAACCAGATGATAACTCAACTAACAAAAGCAGTAAAACAATGAGGTCCATCATTCTGCATAATATCAACTTAAAAAAGACTTTAATTTTCAGATTGTGGAGCTGAGCTGAATATAAGCTGCACCCTTTAACTTTACCATGAAATAAGAGTACATGAGCTGCAAGTGTAAGACATGAGATATTTAGCTAACCAGAACAATTTTATTTAACTTTTAGAAAATATGTACAAAAATGCTAAATTATTTTGTCAATATTCACCCCACAGTGTCATGCTATGCTAGTATCATTGCTTTACATTTCAATCAGACAACATAAAAAAGTATGAGGCATAAACCAAAACATACACTTTTTTTCTTTTCTTTGTTGCTTAACGCTAACCCAAAAAGGTATGAAAAGTGATTTGTGTGACAATTTCATCCCTATTTTTAATATATTCTACATAATTGTGTTTCTGATCATCAGCCGTGAGCTCGGGCGGATCGCTGCTGGGAAAAAAAAAAAAAAAAAAAAACGCAGAAGGAAGAAATTTGACATGTGGCTTCAAAGCCCTGCAATTGTACCAACAGTTGCTGAAGGAAGGCAATAATTTGACATACTGCTGCAGGTGAAACAACCAATGAGCAACACACACACATACACACACACACACACACACAAAGTCAATTACAGAGCAGCTGTGACCCAGAGCCGCAGGTTCATCACGACAGTGACTGATTGTTTCCTGGGCTACTGTTGTCACTGTGACAGCGAGTCGCCTCGACAGGAAGTTGACCTACATCAAGCGCTGTGAGCAACACATGCCGCACACAGACACACACAGACTCAACCTTGAAGCAGAGGCTTCCCCGGGGGAAAGGACATAAATTCCATGATAAATGGGAGTTTCCTGGAAAAAAAACGGAGGATAAAAAGACCACACATATGTGTGCATCAAGTCAAGCTAGGCATCAAAGCTTTCCGTTTCCTTTCACCAATACAGGAAGTGACCTCTATAGATTTGCTATAGTCTACTGATAGGCAGGGGAACAGCTTCTGATCATTTGTCAATAGTGGAAAAGGACAAATCAATGGAGAATGTGAAAACTGCTTCTGGACAGCAGAAGCAAACCGACTGGTTGAATTAAATATGAAGCCTCATATCTTCAATAAGAGCGTGCCAGAATTTTTATTTGCAAAATCTGCATTTTTATTATTAGCTGAGCTACTCTTCTTCCACTACTACCTCTCTGACCCCAATCCAGCTGCAGATAATGAGGCAATAATAGCATCAGTTACTATAGTTGTGGCCATTAGAGAGGCTTCATTTAAACCAAGCTGCAGTACTGCTTCTTTTCCACATCTTCAACCTTTGGAACCTACAGCAACAAGTCTGAGATGTTTCAGTGTTAATGTGAAGCATAAGTTGTGGCCAAAAATGACTTACAGCGAGTCATTTCCTACATTTTAATTACAAAAGGCATAATAAGGAATTATCACATCTAAGCACTAATTACAAATGAGAGATTGTTGTGTTGGTTAACTTTTTATGGCTTTAATTCATTAACCATTTCTTTGATCACAGAGCTTTTCTGCAGAATTTCCCCCTGAGACTTGTGTTTGTTCTGAAAACAGTGTGTGCGCCAACTGTGCATTAGTTTTATGCAGGCTGTCAACAAAAACACAAATTGTGCATGTTTGATGGTTTCTGTAACTTTCAGTCAGCAAAAACTATATTCCTCTCTTCCTCTGCGTTTGCTTTTTCCTAGTCTTGCCACTGCCTTACATAACTTATACTATGGAAGGCATTATTTTGGTTATTTTTTTTAAATAAGTATGATTGAATGTTAGAAGATATTATGTTCTCATTATTTATTTTCTTTAAGATTTAAATAGTGTTTTGCTTTTGGACTTTTTTCTTTTATCCTTTATATTCAAATCCACTGAATTTAAATATGCTTACATTTTAGAACTATATCGGCTGATTAATGACAACATAAATGTTGATATTTTGAAAATGTTTATTTTCAAAATAGTATTTTCAAGAAACTTTACAAGCCAAACATGCATTTTATACCGTAATGAATTACCGACACAAAACGTGTAATAAAAATTGTTTTGAACTTGCTGTGTTTGAGGCAGTAAACGGCCAGTAAGCAAACCTTGATCTTAAATGAAAAATTAAAAGAAACATCAATGTGTGACTTGCAGCCAAAGATCTGAAAGAAAAACAACCAAAGCTTCAAATCATCCCTGCTTCAAGCCGGGTTTCAGATCAATCCTAACAGCTTTAATTCCCACCCAAAGGTTCAAAGAATGTCCAAGAAAATCATCCACAAGCAGCACAATCAGAACTCAGAGGTAAACAGAATCGCAATCAACCAAGAACTGCCCACTGTAGTGTTTGCTCGATTCATGATCTGGATGCTTTTTATGAAAAAAAGAAATGAAGCCATAGAAGTGTTGCAGAGAAAAACAATCTAGAAAACATTGTGTTTTCTTTAAATCTTACCTCGACTGTTAGTTGCCAGATCAGCCACTTTCTGAAAGGCGTCCAGGAAAGCGGCTACTGCGACAACCGTCGTCCTGAGAGAACCAACAGAGGAGTTATTAGTTAAAAAAGGCAGTCAAATAGTTAATTCATTAAGCATCTTGGATTTTATGTTAAGAATGATACTGAACAAACTTGACAATATTTTTTTTAATTTCGTTTGAACAAATATGAACAGAATAAAAGTTTAGTTTGGTCTTTTTTGAAGAGTTGCGTCAAGCAGATTCATACCAGCCAAAACCAAATTAGAAGTTTGTGTGAACTTTGTTTTAATTCAACATGTGATGATGTTTAATGCAAAAAATGTATTGCAAGTTGACCGTCACTGGTTGTAGTTTTGAAAGTAATAAAAATGAAGTGGCCTTTTAAAATTCTTAGCATTTTTAAAAGGTTCTGCAGAGACCTAGAAATAAACAGTTATTTTTTTTTCACGAGTGTTGCAGCAGGGATGCATTTAAAAGTGGAACGACAAAGGCTCTCAGGACTGTTAGGGTTAGGAGCTAAGGACTCATCCTCTATAAAAAAACAAAATGGCAGAAAGCTATAATATTTTAAAACTAATACTAAATTATTGGGGGGTTTTAATTGTTGCCTCTGCATCAACACCAAAATATTACGGATAATATTTTGACAACTCTGTCCCGATGTTGAGTCTAAATCACACAGATAATGGCCATTGATCCTTCATATCTTCCAGCAACAGAAGGTTAATCAAGTCGTGCATGTCTGTGCGTGTGGGTGTGGGTGTGTGTGAATGTGTGAGTGTGTGAGCGTACACATGGCCT